ATTACAAACATTCATCTTCTCCCCATCTCCCGGTTCCCAGGGGGCTACCCCCACCGCTCTCGGTAACCACTACAAACGTACCATGCAAATTTAAAGACGCTTACAAAGAGCGCATCGCAACGCACATGTTACGTCATGCTAAGTCACTCATCAGTACAAGAAATCTACAAATCAATACAATAATCATTAACTTTTACAAAATGAATCGTTACAGACTTGCATTAACTACTCATAGTACGGATGACAACTTTCCAGAGAGATACTCACAGTTTACAAGTGTTGTTAACAATATTTTTTTAACAGTTTGAAGTGAATAATGACCTTTTGGTGATAGCAATATATGCCGCAAGGGTGCATCGTTTGGGTCACACCTCCAGGTCTATAATGACGTCACGCAACGTCACCAATCAGGCCAGGCGAGGCGCCGCTTACATTATGGCTACCACTAATACGTGCAATGCAAAGGCTATTGCACATCGCATAGCGTAACATTATTGTTATTGTTATTATATTTGGCAAAATCAAGTATACAAGAGGAGTGTAACAAACTAACAAAGTAAAGAAATTGCAACCACTTGAATGCCAGGGCCTGGACCCGAAGAAGTTAACTGAATAACTGTGGCTAAAAGCCGTCCCAATATTCCAGGATGGCAACAAATCAACAAGTATAACAGTGGATAGGGAAAGAGAGAAGGGTTAATCATTATGTGTCAACTAATGTACATCGCCTTGGAGATGGGCTCTATCGACCTCAACATGTGCTCCATATAAGCATTGATGTTACATATTTATTTCTGACTCATGTTAATCATTATGTGTCAGTCTATGTACATCGCCTTAGAGATGTGCTCCATCGACCTCAACATGTGCTCCATAAATTACACTTGCTAATATATGTATATTTTCTCAATTATATTGGCGTCATATGTGTAAATTTCATCTGTGATCGCACCAAAATAACTCCTCAGAGAAAGCATTGATGTTACATATTTATTTCTGACTCATGTTAATCATTATGTGTCAGTATGTGTACATCGCCTTGGAGATGTGCTCCATCGACCTCAACATGTGCTCCATAAATTACACTTGATAATATATGTATATTTTCTCAATTATATTCGCGTCATGTGTATAAATTTCATCTGTAATCGCACCAAAATAACTCCTCAGAGAAAGCATTGATGTTACATATTTATTTCTGACTCATGTTAATCATTATGTGTTAGTATGTGTACATCGCCTTGGAGATGTGCTCCATCGACCTCAACATGTGCTCCATAAATTACACTTGATATATGTATATTTTCTCAATTATATTCGCGTCAGTTCTTTTTTACTTTACAAACACGATTTAGAGTCTGCAGTTGGTAGACAAATGCATTGGTAACAACCATTTATTAAAAAAATTTCAACGCAATTCAAGGAAAGGAAATTGAAAAAAATTGATATTGTAAGTGCAATTTTGTGAATTCTAGGGTAATTTTTTTTTTTTGATTTCAGAGGTTTAATAACACGCAGCCCCCCCCCCAGACACAACCAGTGGCGGATCCAGAAGTAAATTCTAGGGGGGTGCGAATAATGCGAGCTCAAAGGCACGAAGCGCCCGGGGGGGTTGGAGGGGGTGTCCCCCTCCCACTGTGTGGAATTGTTAAAAAGTTGCAATCTAAAAGCAATCAATTTTGGACATTTTATCATGGAATATCAGAATTTTTCCTCCTTCAGGGGGACTCTCCTTTCTGTTTAGGGGGGAGGGGCGGGGTCCGGGGGACCTCGTCCACGGAAATTTTGTTGAAAGTAACACCTCTTCGATGCAATTTCCTGCACTATGAGGCAGCACTATTAAACAATCTTCATCACAATAACATCACTGTTGAGTTGAGTATTTTTTACCTTTGGGGACACCAAAGACTAAAATACTTACTACCAAATCTGTGCTATGTACATGTTCTCACTGGGGTTACCAGTGCAGATCGACTTACCTATGCTGAAATACCTTTGCCCTGAAAATTCTAGCCTTCTAGGAGGCGACCGCCCCGTGCTACCGACCCCCCGTTGACAACTACAGCACTGGAATCATCTCCCTCTGAAATTTTGATAAAACATATATTTTACTGAGAACGTTAAAACTGCAAAAAATATGAGAAAAACAACCAGATTTGAACCAAAAAGTACATATTTTCACCCCTTGTACAAAATCGGGAATATACTTTCGCTCAGGTCTCAGCACCCCTTTCCCCCAAAAAAAGTAAGATGAAATTGAATTTTTCTATTTTTCTTCCTGAAAGTAGGGGGGATGAAAGCCACCCCACCTCAATAAGTGTGGGGTGATATACCCCCATCCCCTCGCTATCTACGCCCCTGTCAGATAAACTCAAATTTGACTTTTGATATGCATACAAATATTCATAATCATAATCTTTGTTAGCATGCAGTACTCTATCGGAAATTTTTTTAAAGTGGGGGTGCTCAATTTGTTACGCTCGACAGTGGCCAATGCAGGATTTTAAGGAGGGTGGTAAGAAATAGGCGGGGGTATGCGGGTCCTCCCCCCGAAAATTTTGAATCCTCCATTTTCCTCCTGGAAGTAAGAGGGGATGATTGTACACGCCATCCCCCCACGTCAATAAGTAGGGGGGGATGCATCCCCCCCGCTATCTACGCCCCTGCTGTAGCGTATACATTGTTTGTAAGTTTGATTGAAATTAAACATGGTTTATATTACAGTAATGTAGCATAGCAGTGTGCATAATTTTACATTACAGGACATCACTCCTGATTCTCTCCCCAACTTATCTTATTCTTATCGTCCCTCTTCCTAAAAAAACGACTACTATCTCAGTATCTCTACTCAACCCTTCATCCCATCCTTTACATCCCTTGACATTTCACCCGCTCACCCTATACATCTCCATATCCCTTAGTTGAACGTTGAAATCGGCAATCATATATATGAGATGCTAGCAAAACCAGCGAATGTACTGCCACATACTACATCTATATATCATGTGAAAGATACTTCAGTGTATGTAACTACTGCTCCATTATTAGGACCCATCGCAGCATAAACAAAATTCCTTTGCCTATAATTTATAGACGAATATTGTATTTTGATACCCAAAAAGAACAAATTAGAACAACAACATATTTGAAACAATAATTGACTGTTTATGTGTAGGAAATGTACAATTACAACCCTGGCAATCACAAAATCTTCTCAATTTTAGAGACTGCAATATCTTGTAATATTTAACTTGCTAGCAAATTTTTCGTGTGCTCCTTTGACACCTGCGTTGATAATTTTATGTGGACAAAATCATTTCGTGGGTTCTGGGGACTTGTCTAAACGCATATAATGCAGTGAGCTGCGAAACAGCAACTGCATCGGGGCCTCATTGAGATGGCGCCCAACTGACAAAGAAAGACGCGAATACAATAACAGACTGGCATGGCGTGATGTGTGCTCCTCTCTGGTAGGTTAATGCACTGCCTATTGTGTACAGGGAAGCAAATCGTTTGTATCGAAAATATTCGCTGATTTCTAGATGAGATCACAAATTCAGATGTTATTATTTGTCTCTTTTTTAATTATTTCCTAATAATGCGCAATATGATTGTGTCTTCATGTTAGTTAGGGTTATCGTTATCAGTGCTCGAAATAAGAAAAAAAATGTGGTTGTCCGTCCGCAACAATTTCTGGTTGTTTCAAAAAATATCCCCAAATCTCCTATTTTCAATCACATAATAATATGATCAAAAAACACTCAAAAACAGTGGCGTAGCCAGGATTTTTTAACAAGGGGGCCAAAAACAGCAAACTGCGCAAAATAATGGATGACTTGATATTTTACTGGCTCCTCCGCCCTCCTCTCCACACCCTACGGCTCCTCTACCTCTCAGCTCTGCAATCTTTGTTTTGATCGGCGCATGACGAAAAGGCGACATTTTTGTTCATTGTTCTCTGCTCCCAAGATATGTAATTTTCAGTGGCGGTCTAGGATTCCAAGGAGGGGAGGTGAAAAAAAGTGGGGGGGTATGGGGGTCTTCCAATTTTGGAAACTTGCTGGTTTGCTGGTTCCAAATCGAGTTCACCTCTTATAAATCAGAAAACCCGACATATACCAGTGTTGGAAATAGCAGCTGGTCCCATATTTTTATATTATTCACGATTTAATTCACGATTAAGATTTCTTGATGAGCTAGAAACACTCGGATTTGAAGTATGAAACTGAACATTATAGTGGCCAAGCTAGCCTACACCAGTTGGTTGGGATTGATTGTCAGTTCAGATGCAAAATATTGAAAGCAAAAGGTTATACACCATAGATTAATTGGGTACTATACAACTATAACACTCGTATATAAGATCGATAAGCCGAGTCGATTTAGAGTTAGTGTTAGGGTTAGGTTAGGGTTAGGGTTTCTTGGTTGTCCACCGGACAATGTCTCAGACTGGTTGTCTCGGGCAACCGGACAACGCTTATTTCGAGCACTGAGAATACTCATAAGCCTATTTACCAGCTGATAGAACTGAACGCTCATCATGACATCATAGTACCGTCCAACGATTGGTACTTTTATAAATTATGTGTGAATCATTATCATCGTAGAGCACAACCTACATCAAACTATTACGTATCCAGATGTGTATGTGTAAATTAATATTACAACGAAGAAAATTACATCTAAAAAGATATGATGTTGTTCGGGTTTCTTCTCCCGTCCTTTTGATGCGATTTATGGATCGTATGGCCTCCGCAACTATGTTGCTTTGGTTTTTGTAACAGGGCTTCATCCGGCAAAGCTACTAGCTGGCTTTTATGTGAGTAAGGGACAATGTCTTTACGACAGCGCTCTTAACTAATTCCTACAGCATGTGTCGACTTAAACAAATCTGAATTAAGTGCCATGCTGAAAAGCACAGCAGCAGTGACCATCGGGATTCGAACTATAGACCTACCGTATATAACCGAGAAGACAAAATATACGACAAGGTGTATTACCTACTGGGCCAGCTGGAGCCATGGCCATTTCCTTGAGTGTCCTTCTTCGAGCAACATGCCCGATTCCTGACCTCGCTTCTTGGGCATAGTTTCGCGTTCGCAATACGTTTGAGATGGTACCAGATTGGCCGAGTCTAGAAGTTCCTGCTGAGTGATACGCGGTAGCGACACCACCAGCGCACTCACAGGAATTTGACACAATCTTGTCGCAAACATAGTGTGTGTATACTGATGCCCGTACAGATGGATGTATCAACCACTTTTGCTATCTGAAAACAGGTACGTATATTATAATCAGTTATATAGTAACTGTTAATTCCAAAATCTAATTTCCAGTAATTTAGCCTAGCGCACTCCTTTATTTTTATTCACGCACACAAACGAACGAGTGCACACATGCACACATATATAGGTAAATGTAAATGCCACTTCCATATTACACCTATTTACACCGCATTTCTTGCAGAAATTGAAGGGCTTTCCTTGTAGAGTACAGGCTTCTCCAAGAGCACTTATAGCTTGGCGGCCCGCCAGGCTATCGTCGAGCCCCGCCACTCCAAATATCATGGCTGCCATGCTGGTGTATACACAAGAAGTTCAAACAATTAATACACGTTGTTTAAATCGGAATAAACTGAAGTGATATGCAGAAAGCCTACTAGTTTACCTTGTGTTTCAATTCTCGGGAGGGAATAAACGAAGCTGTGAATAATTCGAACGTCTTTGATTTCTCTATTAACACGAGGTATAGACTGTATTACCTGCCCCTACTTCGACAACGCTACGGGCGTGTTTTTAACTCATCTTATTTTTAATCTATTATTATTTTGGATTTTCCGATGGCTTTGCCCATGCAAAACAAACATTTTCACCCCACATGCAGTGCTTCAAATTTACACACAGAGTGTCCCAGATTGCATCTCAGAGCTTCTACAATTCAAAAATTTTCCGGGAGAGCATGCCCCCGGACCCCCCTACCACGCAAACCGCTTTCGGCGATTTGCAACTAGCACCGTAAATGCTATGATGAAAAAGCTTGGAGAACCCTGGAGTAAAATAGTTGGGTCATAATGTGTTAACTCCATATTTTTACGCAAGGCCACCTATATATACACCTTCACACCTATAAACAAATTAGATAGAGATTTAATTTAGCCATCGTTCCTTGTTGTGGCCACGTGGTCATTTTTTTATCCTAGTTTAGCACCCAAGATAATGGAATAGTTTAGCACATGTGAGTTAAATTATTATATATACCCGGACCGATTACCGTGGTCCCAAACTAGTTCGATTAGGTAGACTTTGTGCAGGATCTAACACACTGTCACTACCCTATAAATACATGATGTAGATGTGTAAATGATTTAGAGAATGACATTTATTGGGTACGACCGCACGTACATATCTTTCAAGCTGCTATCAACTCGTTACCGGTTAAGATAAGCCACTGTGAACAGCACTTATTCCGTAATAATAGTTCCGCATTACTATAATAGTAAGTAATAATAGTTATTGTATTTGCGGTTAGTTGACATTGCAATAGTCCTAGAAGTTAGAACTATAGCCCTTCGCCCCGCCTCAGGAATTAAGGGCCTAGAGCTAGCATTGCCATTGCCTTGGGCCTGGCCATTGGCATTGCCATGGCATTACTACTACTAGACGTGATGCGGCCATGATGCCGAGGCGCGCCGAGGATTGACACTTTGTGTCTTTCAATCACAGTCTACGCCGCACCTCTCTATTATAACTTCTAGGTATAATACCATTAAAGCACCAAATCGCCGATCTCAGGAACTAGGGCATTCTGCTATGTTAGAACGGTTTCCTACGATAGAGTTTGGCACAAAAACCAAAATAACACGCTGTTTAGCGCACTGCGCTACGTCCTTCTGTTGCATTTTCGCATCTCCGTAATCAGAATAAGCCCCGCCTTCTTCGTTGATGGGCATGAATGGGGCGTCACCGACGTGACCAGTTTCTGTACTTACTGTGTTTACTTTTCGTAAATAATGAAATGCCCGGCTGATGCTAGACTGGTACCCGTTCGCCACCTTCACTCCAGCAAGTATCCTTTGCTACACTGACGCTGTTAGTGTAGCGTGTGGAACTGTCGACCGGGTACCTGTCTAGGCTGATGCATTTCGCAATGTTTACATGCCACAGCGGTAAGTAAATATGGGGATTTTCAATAAAATAATGCGTTTTTAATGTATTTACCACAATTTACGTATAGAAACTAGTTTCCATAAACATTGTCGCCAACTACATGTATCCCCCGTGTTTTCCCCAAGATGTGTAAGTATACGAAGTTTGGTCACGCTAGGTCAATTAGGGGCCGAGTTATAGAG